CGAAACTCTTCATCCTGAGCCCTTGAGTAAAACACAAGAGTATCTGCCCACTTTCATAAAATAGAGGGAGGTCCCTAATTCCACAATAGCCTATAGGGCTTCAGATTCATGTAGGAACCTGTCAGAGGGAAGAAGCATGTTTATGAATGAACAAGCTGCTTCTCTGCCTGAGTTCAGTGTCTGTTTAGTAAAGGGATGAACAAGGACCCCCCCACCCCGTGTGATGTGGAAACAACCATCATGGCAATTTAACCAGGTTGCATTTTCCTTATTTAGGCTGTATACATATTATAACTTACTAAATTCAAAACTTTTAATACAACTGATATCTTGGGCTGCGTGTTGTTGCCTTTAAAAAGTAGCTCATTAGAAAGTTTCCACGCCACCGACTCGCAAGTCGCTCACGCAGCTAAAACGACACCGCATTGTGATGATAATGTTGTGCGTTTCCACGCGGCGGCTCGCGTATCTCTCTCTTTCTCTCTCTCGCTCTCCCCGCGGCCTCCGGGGGGGACGGAGGGTCTCCGAGCTTATTGATACTGGCGAATGCCAGCGGGCATTAGAAAACAGCGAGCGGCCATCTGCCAGCCTCAGCGAACCAGCAACCCCACCAGCTGCAGTCGCAAAACGCCCCACAAAGCAGGACATGCACATGCAGCTTCTGACGTCTGCGGCCACACTGCGCTGCAAAGCCCCAGAAACGCCAGCGAGCGGAAACAATGAGAATCACGCGTAGAAACGCCGCATAGGTCCGCGAGCCAGCAAGTTGGGGGGGCTTTTTTAAACATTTTTTTTAATGTATTGTTCGAGAAGAGGCTTCCGTTAAGCGCACGTCGCGAGTGGGTTTCGTGCGGATATTTTTTTTCCCCCCCACGTTGAGGAAAATATACATAAAAAGACTCATGCAGGGGCACTTTCATACCCCGACATGGCGACGGCAAGAAAAGGGAGAGAGCTTTTTACTATCTTGGAAACTAGCGCGGACGCAGAAAGTAGCGCGGCGTGCGACGGCCGGGACTCTCCGCTTAATCTTTCGGCCGATGTGAAGTGGTTCGAGATTCCGTACAGAAAGCCGGACTCGGACGAGGAAAACGGAGTAAGAGAGCAGCAGGAGGAGGAGGAGGAGGAGGTGGAGGAGGACGACGACGAAGACGACGACGACGAGGAGGACGGCGGCGGCGGCGAGGGGGAGAATGGATTCCCGGCCGCGGCGGCGGAGTGCGCGGACGCGGCCGGCTTCCTCGCGGGGGGAGGCTGCAACATAATTCTGGTCACCGGGAGCAACGGGATCAACCACCACCACCACCACCACGACGAGGAGGAGTACGCGGAGGACTGCTATTACTCCACCTCCGCCAACTGCTCCGACACCGACGCCTCGAACGATTCGGACATCGATTTCTCCGATCTGGAGGAGGAGGAGCGCCGGAGCTTTTTCGGCTTCGAGGAGGACTCGGACGAGGACTGCGCGTCGGCGGGCTTCTGGGGCGAACCCGACCAGGTCATCGCGATCGAGCCCTTCGCCGCCGCCAGCGGCCCGCAGCACTCGCTGGGGGACGACGCCGACGCCCGCGACTATTTCCGGATGCTCTTCCCCGATTCTCTTTTTGAACACATGGTTGAACAAACAAACAAACACGCCCTCTACCGGCAGAGGAGGAGCGGAAAATCCGACCCCCACTGGCACCCCACGGACGTGAGGGAGATGCGGGCGTACGTGGGGCTGAACGTCCTCATGGGCATCAACCAGCTGCCGGACACCGGCATGTACTGGGCCAGTGACATTTTCATAGGCAACGCGGGCTTTAAAAAAACAATGACGGCCCGGCGCTTCGAGAAGCTCACCCAGTACCTGCAGCTGTGCGACCGCGAGACCGAGCCCGCGCGCGGGGAGCGCGGGTACGACGCCCTCTTCAAGATCAGGCCTCTCCTGGACGTGGTGGAGAACACCATGTGGGACTCGTACGCGCCCAACCGCTGTTTGACCATAGACAAGTGCGCCATTGTGGCCAAGGGACGTTTCCCCCCCGCCCAGTGCATGCCCTCCAAGCCCCTGAGGAAAGGCCTGACCGTGTGGATGCTGTGCGACTCGCGCACCGCGCATTCTACCACCGAGCCCAGATCTACGTGGGCAAGCCCGACGAAGACGAGGCCGCGGCCTCCCTGGACTACCGGGTGGCGAGCTTTCTGGTGCGCGGCCTAGAGCGCCAGTAACACCACGTCTTCATGGACGACTTCTTCACCTCGGTGCCCCTCCTCCAGCGGCTGCTGAGGGACGGGCTGTACCCCTGCGGCCCCACCCAGCCGGGACGCAGGGGTTACCCCGAGGTGCTGCGCCCCAGCAACGTCGGGAAGCTGTCGCAGGGCGAGTTCTACCAGTGTCAGCGGGGCAACCTGGTCGCCACGGTGACACGGGACGCCAAGGTGGTCAGCTGCCTCTCCACCAACTCCGCCCCCGGCATCGTGGGCATCAGCCCGGGGCGGCAGCACCCGGAGGCGGACGGCGAGGAGGAGGGCGACGGCGTGAACTGCTCGGGCCCGTCTCTCGGCGTGCCCCGGCCTCTGCCCCTGCTGCTGTACCAGGAGAACATGAGGGGGGTCGAGCTGTGTGACCAGCTGAGAGAGTGCTACCAGGTGGGCCGGCCGTGCAAGAAGTGGTGGCGCTACTTCCTGTGGTTCTACGTCAATCTGTGCATCGTCAACGCCTACGTCATCCTGAGGGAGAGCAGAGGGGGGACGCCGCCGGCGGGCTTCAACGGCAAGCAGTTTACCCAGCGCCACTTCCGGGTACGCCTGGCGCAGCAGCTGATTGGAGACTACCAGGGGGCGAGGGGCATGGAGCGGGCGGCCCGTAAGAGACACGCAGATTCCCCCATAGAGTACGGGCATCGCCTGGAGCGCATGTCGGAGCGCTCTCGCCGCTGCAGGAACTGCACCAACAAGGGACTGCGTCACGAGAGCGTGTTCGGCTGCAAGATATGCAACGTCCACCTGTGCAGGGGGGGGTGCTTCTCTGAGTTTCATAAATAGCGTTGGACTGCTTCTTTTGTTTCGTTTTTATATCCTTTCTGTAATCAAACAACTTGTGTCGAGGGAGGTTTTTTTTTAAACCGAAAAACCGTTTGTAATTCCAAAGGTTACCACTACAAGTGCACAATATAGTCACAGACTTTATGTAGAACTAGTTTTAGGATAGAAGTGTTATTGCACGTATAATGGAAAAAAAAAAAAAAAAGAGAAACTGTAGATTAATTGAATTAGTATAGAATGTTTTGGCAACTTTGCCTTCTTGTAACACTGACAGAATTGCCTTGTGTCACTTTTTTATACGTTTAAAATAATGAGAAGGATTTTATATGAAAAAGAAGAATCAAACTTTTCTGCACTTATAATAGATCAGAAAATGTTTACTATGGGAAGTTTATCTCTCTCCTTTTCCAAAATAAAATATTCATCATGATGTACTTTTACGTGTGGTATTGAAGCATGGATGACATCACCATAGTAAAGAGGGTAAACAATGTGAATATGAAAATAAAATCTGAGCTTTAAATTAATTTACACTGGTCTGAATGAGGCTCAGCTTTGGATGCTCCGGATCCTTTTATACACACGGAACTTCAAGGGGACACAGCTTGGAGCAATTATAGAGTAGAAAAGGTCCCTCAGTCCTCTCCAGCCAACTGACCTATACTGCCATTTATTTCACCGACCACACTACTTACTCAGGGTCATCTGTGGCCTCAATACGTGATACTTGTCACTGACTTGATTGAAAAATTAGGAAAAACACAGTTTTTGTTAGAATAATCTTAACGTGTCAGTTGTTAGGGAAAGAAAAAAGGGAGCATGTTCCCAATCCATCAAAGGCAGGTGTTGAATCAAAGCTGCTCATGCTATCCCGGGTAGAGGCTATTAAGAAAGAATTGTGACTACCGTTAAACATAATGTGTATTTTCACCCAAGCTTTTCCGTCCGGCTGTAAGTAGGCAGAGAGGTCGCTTGAGCAGGTTCTTCCTGTGCTTCTTTCTGAGGTCTTCTTCCTTTCTCTCCTTCTCTCTCTCCCTCTCCAGCACAATGTCTATCTCCACCTGTCTCTCTCTTTCGCTCTCCATCCTCCAGCTCTGCTCTGCCATCCTACACATTCACACACACACACACAACACACACTACACGCATACCCTCCTTTCTCCTTCACTCCGCTCTCTTGCTGGCTCTCGCAGCCGTTCTCCAGCTGGGAGAGGGTTAGTCAACTGGACGGCCATCCCGCTGATCTGCGGGAGCCCCTTTGGGGAGTTACCATGGCAACCGTGGCCGATGAAGACAGGGAGTCGCCAGCAGGCCCGCATGGTTGTCATGGTGCTAGCTCTGGCTACGGAGGTGGGAGGTGCAAAAGGCCACACCTCCCTACCCCTTCTCCAAAACCAAGCGTGGTGTGTGTGCGTGCGTGCGTGCGTGCGTGTGTGTGTGTGTGTGCGCGCGTGTGTGTGTGTGTGTGTGTGTGTGTGCGTGCGTGTGTGTGTGTGTGTGCGCGCGTGTGTGTGTGTGTGGAGGGAGCTGGCTGGCTGACAGCCTGCACACTGTGCACGGAGCCAGAGCGGTTTCCAGGCAGGCTCTGCTACAGAACAGCCGACACCATGACTGTTGCCAAAAATGAAAGGAATGACATGAAAGTGCTGCTCTGGAGACGTCTTCATCATACAGGTGTAAATTGCGGCATCAGAGGAATCTCTCTCTCTTAAAGTCACTGTTCTGTTTGATTTAAGAAGCAGCCTGCTGCTTCACGGTTATAGGATGCAGAATTGACCAATTTATCATCTGCGCTGTATCTTGTGCTACTTAAAACAAAATTATGAGCTGTCCGATCAAAGCTTTTAGACCGTATTTTTCCAAGATTTTGTGAGATTCAGTCCTCACACACACAGTCATTATACTATCAGAGGTATTACAGACACTTACCATAAGTTTGACAAACAATTTGAATTACATTTAATGTCTTTCCACTCAAATATTAATACATGTTAACAGGCTCCAGTAACACAAAACAAGTCACATGCAGCAAATGTGAGTTGAAATATCTGCATCATTTTTCAATCGTACACCAGCAGCGCAGAGAACATGTGCACCTGAACAGAAGAATGTGACGCCTGTGTTTGGTGGATGCTCTTGTGCTTTTGTAATAAAAATAAAGGCGCTAATTGCTGCTTTGTGGGCTAGACGTGAGATTGTGAAGACCTCTTTGTGCGGAGGAACCGAACACTGCCCCGTCTCTGTCTCTCTCCCTCTCTCCCTCTCTCCCTCTGGGCAGGTGGGAGTGCTGCGAGCATGTGGTGTCACAATAGCCAGATCTAATGTTTCCAGGATGGATCCCAACCATGAAATGCTCAGTTCCCAACATGTTTCCCCTCCTGGGCAGGAAAAGATCTCTGAGTCTCTGTCAAGAACATGGGCCTGGTTTCACTTAAGGACGGCCGGTTGGGTAACACATGTACTGTTAGAATCGTAAATGTGCCTTTGTTTCTTTCCTCTATTAGTCCATGGCCAAAGATGAGATGAAACCCCTCCAGCATCTAATTCTCTCTGACTGACACGTCAACAACAGGATTGGGACAACAAATGAGTTCTTAAATCTAAATTATTCACATCAAATCAATTAGTATCTTAGTGTCTGTTTTCACTTTAACTACCGTGTAGGCTACTCCAGTTGCAGAGGGTACATAAATACATTTACTCAAGTACACATCAGTACAATTTATAGGTTTTACAGATTTGTATTGCAGAAATATATATTTCTTTCAAATACTAAAATGAATAATTTATTACTTTGTGTCACACATCTCCATCTAGTGGACAAGAGAGTAAACAACTATTTATTATCAAGCAATGGAGGTGGTTCGAACTCATTTAACTGAGTTCGAACCACCTCCATTGCTTGAGCAACGTTAAACAGTTATTCTGTGTTATTATTTTCTGCACGTTCCTCATGAAACGCACGCACATCTGCCTCGTGATCTAATGAATGTATTTAACCAGGAAGGTTGTGAAACCAGATGGATCTCTTTGGTTTTTGCGTATGCAGTTGAGGCGAGTCCTGCAGGATGACCAGGGGAAGTTTGATTTCTGAGTCTCGTGGCCCATCAAGAACGACCTGCAACCACAGAAACACGTGAGGCCGCTGTGTATCGTATCCACTCAAGATTGTGCAGTTACGACGGCTTCGCTCGGGCCCCCAGAGAGCAGGCTGGGAACAGGAGAACAGGACTGAACAGATCGGTCTGTAATACAACACTATGTCCAACACCGGGGCTGTCCCCTCTGACCCCCCCTACCTCCCCCCTTTGTCTCCCAGTCTCCCACGTGCTCACCCTCACGCAGCCAGTGTGGCGTTGCTGTTGTTATCGTGCATGGCCCAACATGCACATGTATAAATACCTTGAGTCTGTACTCAAGCTTCATCATGCAGCAGTTGAAGAAGGTTGGGTGGAGTTGCGTGGGTATGCTCAGGACTTTGGTTTTGGTCTGACAGGTTTGAGCTGCAATAGGGTCCCCTGTCCCAAAGAGGGTTTCATTTGTGTGCACAATCCTCTTCGAGTCGGCGGCGAAGGTCTGCTTTTCACACAGGTAGAATTTGGGTGTTACTGTGTGTGCAGAGTGGTTGAGTACCTGCACAGAGACGCCCATTGCTTCGCCTGTTCATATTCAGGGGGGGGGGTCACACCATTAGGGCTTCGGTTGAGACAACTCATTAAAAAAAGATTCATGTTTTTAGTAAAATCTGTTTACCTTGCTTTACTCCCAGTTTTTCGGAGGAAACATTCAGAGCAACCTTGGCAGAGCCGTAAAATGAAATTCTAGTCACACTCTGTTGTTCCTGACAAGTACAAACATACGGCATTAGCTGAAATGGATGATTATTATAACATGAACACACGCGGGAAAAGAAAAAAACGCATTCACATACGGAGGCCAATCTATTCCATACCTTTAGTCCGATGATTATCATTTCTGATTTGGAGGCGAAGGGGAACTCAGACTTGGTGAGAAAAGGAAACCTGGTCTTGGTTTTGTGGACGAGCCAGATCGACTGAGTCAACTGTGCTTTTAAACTGTATGTTATCTTGCCCCATTTCCCCTCGTAAGATGAAGGCATGTCTCTGTGGGCAAATAATTCCGATGCATAATGAAGATTATTTATTTTTCAATAGCTTGTTAGGAAACCTGTTTATCATAAATATAATTATAAAAGTAAACTCACGTGTTTGGTATCACAAAGGTGAATGGATACGCATGCCTCCCAGAGCGGATGACTTCTGAACCTTAAGAAAATACATATTTTTGTTAAAAGCACATTTGTTCCATTTGTTAAAATACCATAAAGACGAAAATCATACAATTCAAAAGGGCTATATTATTTGGCAGACAGAGTGACAATACTAACCATCCCCTTTGTTTTTGTCCTGAATAATAATATGCTCAAAATAAAAGTATTTCCTCCTGTCCACGTGCATTCCTTCGGCTCGTCCGTCTTGTTCGTGCCATTTCACTTTAGCTTTTCCTTTGGCTTTGACCAAAAAACACTGCACTTTGGTTTCCCCGCTGGTCACCACGGTCACCCTTCCAGAGAGGGTGTCACCGGGGGAGAAGACGCCTCGTTCGTTCACCTTGTTGTAATCCACCGAGAGATGCCTTACAGTCATGACAAGTTTGCGCCAGATAACCTGACCAAAGGTAACGGATAGAAAGCTGGACGATCCTCCTGTAGTGATAGATCCTTCCTATCCAGTTTGCCTTAAACAAAGCTGGTGAAGAATTGGGTTCTTTCGTCGATGAGCAAGGATCAGGGCAAGGTTGCCTTATTTAGTGTAACAGTGGACTTCTCCACAAGCCGTATCGGTTTCACACCGTGGGATCGAGAGCTGCGGGTGTCACCTTCACGCAGGTAACTCGAGCTGGCAGCCTTTCAGGTTAAATTAGGCCAAACAAAGTAAAAATATGACCAATGAAACATCTCGAACAACTTGGTCTCAAAGTAAAAACAAATTGCATCTGTTCCAATGCTAACAGATTCCAAGTTAGTAGACTTCCTCCAGCTTCCCATTGATATACGATAATACTTTAATACGTTAAACTTGCCATAGTTTAATGATGGAGCATTTGTTCTGTAGTGATGAAAATCTGCAAAGTGCTGAGACAATCTGCAGGAATTGTCATTCATTATATAGAATATAATTTGTGCGAACTATTTACATTTTAGAGTTGTTAGTAGAAATACAATTTAAGTTTGTAAAAACATTTTAATTTCTCTGTGTGTTAATAAAATCACAAGTTGATACGTGAGATACAGTTTGCGTATATATGTACATACATATGTACATACACAGGTATGAATATAAAGCCACCCCACTTTTGTAATATTGATTGAGAAAATATAGTAGAAAATTGTGTAATTTTAGGAAACATTTCGATGCATAGTGATGTACAGTGTAACATGAACAGTCTTACTATATGTTTAGTAAACAGTAATTATATCTATGTGATGAAATGCAGTTAAGTTACACATAATACTGACAGAAAAGAAAAATGACAAATTCACAATTAAATAGGTTAAAAAAAATGTTTGGCGCTATCATGGCTGTAAACTGACCAACAATGATCAAAATGATCAAAAGGTGATCAAAATGATCAAAAGGTGATCAAAATGAACAAAAGGTTATCAACTAGGGTAAATGGGGTACATTGCATATGCCCCATAGGGCGGTGGGGGCTCTGCAGCCTGGGATGGAGCTTGTGATGGAGGCGGCATGCCCCAGGGTACTTCGTCCGGGTTCCCAAATGCTTCAAATCCAAAACCAGCAGCGGCAGGTGGTGGTTTTACAGCCAGGACCTCAGAGGATGGCAAGATGACTATGGGGAGTTTGATCTCTGGGTCCGCAGCATATTTGATATCTAGATGGATCTATGAAGGACATTACAGATGTTATATTATTTGAACTTTCTTTGCAGAATAGAGTACAACACAATGCACTTTGACTCTTTACAAGGTACTACTATTATTTGCTTGGTAATTTTCCAAGCAGTCAAACCTCGTTCACTAACTAAAAGTACAAATGAGACATATTAGACAATGAAAACAGAAACGTACCCCTACAAGCCTCCGATCAGTAGCTATTCCACAAAACCACAATCCATATATGTACAGATCAGCATAATGGCTCAGAAATGACAAATGCAGGATAACCTTTCACAGCGTACGACCATGATTGAATAAAGTTTACCTTCAGCTTGTACTCCAGCTTGATGATGGAACAGTTCAGGATGGAGGGAGGTAGTTCCCAGGGGATTGTTATCACCTTGGTCACAGTCTCTTTACCAGAAGATGCAATTGACTCCATCTTCTCCTTAAGGATCTCATTTGTGGAGATTCTCCTGTGCCCCATTGCGTAGAAACTCTGTTTCTCATACAGTACGAATTTAGGCTTCACTGAACGCGATGAGTTGTTTCTGACCTTAACTGTGAGCTGGAGAGCCTCGCCTATAAAAAGGAGAAAAGAAAGCTGGTGAATTGTTGTTGTTGTTGTTACTTACACTCTAACAAATTGCTGTAAATTTGCGGTGCATTTCTAACGGTATCTTACAGTATGTCATAATAACTGTAAGATACAGTTACATTTCCATCCCTTGCTTGTAAATTAACGGCCAATGTCATGAATAAACAGGTAAAGGTGTCAATTTATGATAATAGCAGACTACCGTAATTCAACTGCATGTTAAATATATTTTATGAAGTGGTGGAAATACACATACAAGTGCAGTGAATCAGCCACTAAAAAACAGGTGCTGTAAGTCATCATAATGAGATGGTATCTCATGAGATACGATGATGACTTTGACTTACAGGACATTACTATACATGCAGCTGTCACTTTTATCCAAACGCCTATAGTTTGACATCATTTTATGTGGAGTAATTGGGGGTTAGGTGTCTTGCTCAGGGACACTTTGACTTGGCACAGGGACCAGCCAGGATTCGAACTGCCGACCTTGCGCTGCACAGGACACCCTCCCTATCCCATGCCCCGCCTTTTCCATCGTTTTGGTGCTCGGAATGTAAGGATTCTAAATATTTGTATTATTCAAAGTGTTTATTGTCTAAAAGTCATTTGAGTGACCGACTGCTCCTGAACGTCACGTTAATGATTTTATGATTCATTTTTTTATTATTGTATACATGCGCCATATTTTATGTTTTGTTCTTGGTTACAAATGCCTAGCATTTTTGTCTTAAAGGCATCTAATAAGCTCCAACAACTATGAACGAAATGAGTTTGGTTGTCTTTCTTTAATTTGTGGGGAATTAAATGCAAAAGTATACGGTTATGAGTAAACGGTAACATTCTGGTATTTATAACACAAACAGTTACAAACAGTAATCATATTGTAACAAACTGTAATCCAATATACGACAACATACCATAAATTATGGTAGGGCACTGTAAATAAAACAGTAAGTTACTAGCATCGACTGCCAGTAAATTGCAGTTAATTCACAGTAAAATTGGTTTGGTAGTTTAGTTTACGGTAACATACAGTAATCCATTATACGGTAACATACTGTATTCTACGGCAGTGTACCATAAAAAAACAGCAAATTACTGGCATCCACTGCCAGTATTTTACCGTTAATTCACTGTAAAGTTCATGCCAATTTACTGTAATCCATTTTACGGTCACATAGTGTAAAAGCCATTTACGGTATTATACTGTAAAATAGCGGTAAATTCCTGGCGACCTTGCTGCCAGTAAGTTACCGTTCATTTACGGTGAAATTTTTCAGGATGCTTAAGCACTACCCGTTTTATGAATGATAATGTATGTTATCAATATCTGATAATCTGGTTATTATAAATGCATACATTATATATAAGTTGTATGTCTCATACACACTCGTGAACCAATATATAATGTACTAGTCAGAAGTCAGAACTTGTATAAAACTGCCACTACTATGTAGTGAGTCCCCCAGCCTTGTTTATCAAATTTTTTACATGTATTGAATCAGCCTCAAAATGCAATGTCATTCAGGCTATAATGTACACAGCATGTCCAGAACACACTGGTTAGTATTTCAAGTACTCCTGTGGAGAGCAGCACAGGGAAATTAGTTTGTGTTTTGAAGTATGGAAGTGCTGCAGCATCAAAGACTTCTCTGTGCCGGCATCAACTCATTATCACGCCCAAACAAAAACTGTTCAACGCGTGACGGAATTCCTGACGGGGAGGAGTGGACCGTCACCTAACAAGAATTGCAACTTCTGTTTCCATGAGTGAGGAAGAGGTAAAACGTCAAAAATAGCCCAGGAAGGTCTGTGGGCCAGTGAACAAGGATATGCTTGTGAATCTAAATCCATCACGCGAAGCATTAAATAGTTACCTTGCTTGAAGCCCATTCTCTGGGTGTGAACATCCATTGAAAGGTTTCCGGAGCCAAAAACTTTGACGGATTTGTCCTTACAGCCATGCTGAGGATCCTGTGAGAAAAGACACTCAAGCTCAGATCAGAACATTCTCTTCTGCTTAGACAACATTTGTCATTAAATAAAATTTTACCATAAGTCCGGGAATGTCCCTGTCTGCTTTGGACACAAACATGAAGTGAGTTTTTGCCTCTTTTGTCAGCTTCATTGATTGTTTAAGCTCAGCCTTCAGTTTGTGAACAATTTTCCCCGTGTTGGATTTGAAAGATGATGGAATCTTCCTGCCAGGTAAACATATAGAAACTTAGAATGATCTTGAAAGAAGTAAAATATCTGTTTAAAATATGGATGAATAAACTGGCACCTGTCAGGTATGCTGAATGAAAAAGGAAATACGTGTCTTCCTTTGCCAATGACCTCTGTGCCTGAAACAGAATATGTATTATAAGTCCTCTAACAGTGTATTAATGAAGCATTGACCAGAATGAATTGTTTTGATACTTTACCATCTTGTCTTTTCTCTCTCAAGATATGGTGTTTGACATTGTAGTATTTTTCATTGGCCCAGTACACATGATGCTGATTTTGTCCGTAATGTTCACTCCATCTGACCCGAGCTTTTCCAGTTGCTGTAAAAACAAGCGATTTGACTGTAGTTTCCTTAGAGGCCTCTACGATGACTCTCCCATTAATGGTATCTCCATTTGTGAAGGTGTTTTTGCTGTTGATGGCATCATATTCGATTGCAAAAGTTTTGATGGTCATTTTCCAAAAGGAAATATCGTGTGCAAAATCAAAATCCCCAAAAAGGAGTCGAAGCCTGTAAGCCGCTCGGGTTTTTAACCCGCTCTCAGGCATGCACATCTGGTTAAACCGGTCTTTTTCCTACGTGACTACAGGTGAGTGACACACATGCGCACACTGTTTACCAGCGGCTTGAACTGCAACAGTGGTGAGATAATCCATCACACTGCCCTCCTGATGCCACCTCTGTGGGTGGAGCGTGATACCTGGCTTGAGTTTCATGACTCACGTGATACGCTTCATGACACATTTTACGTTCACATGAAATCATTCCCATTACTGTACATAGTGCACTTGCTATCTGACAGAATTTAATTTCAGTGCAAAGGGCATTACAGTAGAATTACCTGATGCATTCTAAATATATATTGTATATTGACTAAAAGAAAGTAGCTTCAGCAGGTAAATAGAGCTACACTTGATGGCAGATTGTACCAAACTGGTATTATAACAAAATGTAAGTTTAAAGAATAAATAAAGTAACACACAGTGTAATATATATAAATATATATATATAGTTTCTCTTTATTTCATTCCCTTAAAACGTAAAAGTATCTTTATGGTGCCGTTACTGCTCTTTATTTCCAAAATCTGTCAGAGGAGGGTACATTCCATATGCTCCATAGGGAGGTGGGGGATCCAAAGGTCCAGGATCTGCTGGTGGTTGTGGTGGTGCAAAGCCCCAGACTGGTGGGTTTGCGCCCCCAAATGGTTCCAATCCAAAGTCGGAAGCAGCAAGTTGTGGTCCCAGCAGAGCAGGAACCTGCTGCGCCGGCAGGATAACTATATCAAATTTGATCTCTGGGTCAGAGGCATATTTGACATCGAGGTAGACCTATAGAAGATATGGAAGATGTTACACAGTTGGACTTTGTTTTATCAGCAGAATAAGCAAGATGTATATATTATTTACCATGTATACCATATATATTATCATGTGGCCGTAAAATACTCAAACTCATATATATTTAAGTGACAGATCGGTAAAGGTGACTTTCTTCTAAACCTTTTAGCATTAAAATAAAATAAAAAATACAAATCGAGAAAATAAATATTAGTCGAAGTAGACCACAATGACTGACTGTTGGTAGGTAGACAGAACTTCAAGCCTCCCTGTTACGGGGCGGTAACTGGTGACCATAGTTTGACATTGGCTTTACCCGGAGTCTGTATTCTGCTTTGATGATACTGCAGTTGAGGATGGAGGGCTCCGCATCGAGAGGGATGGGGATGACCTTTGTGAACTTTTCCGTGGCGGATGGAACGATGGGCTCGCCCACCTCTTTGAGGAGGTCTTTGGTAGAGCATTTTCTTTTCCCTTGTGCAAAGAAGCTGTGCTTTCTGTACACACAGTACTTGGGCTTGATATTGCGAGTGGAATTGTTTTGAATGCAGGCCAGGACTTTTAATCCCTCTCCTGCAAAACAGGGCAAATATCAGAATAGTCCTTGGCATGACACCGACACGTGTCAATATAACTTTAAGGGCCGTCACCTTGGAAGAATCCTGTTTTTTCCAGATTCAAATCCATGGCTACCATTCCGGAGTTGAGGATTTTCATTTTCTTATCCTTAGACTCATGCTGAGGTGTCTGAAAAAAGACAAGATGTAGGGAATAGAGGTGGGGGAAGGGATAGAAAAACACACTTATAAACAATCTATTATCTTTTATTCTGGTGTTTCAAATGTCTGCGGTGAATGCTAGCCAAAGAAACGCTGTGCCAACTGAGTTGGTTTCTAAAACTGAACTACTGGATATCATCAACTGCTGCAATGCATGCACATTTGGAATGACAGGAAAGATGATGTAACTATACAAATACCATCAGCTCAGGGTGACTGGTGAAGTCCTCCTTGGTGACAAAGTTGATTGTAGTTGAATCCTTAGTGGGAATCCTCATTGATCTGCTCAGCTTGGCTTCCAATGAGTACACGATTTTACCAACACTGCCAGTGAAGGAGGAGGGTGTATTCCTAAGAGCAGAAGAACACTGAAGACTTATTTACAAAACGTCTTCAAACCTTTAAGAAAATGAAATACCACCGAAGGTTGATCGATTGAGATATTTTCCAGAAGATTATATGTAACTAACATATTTTCCTTTTTTTTTTAACTAGGCGTTGAGAGAATAATTTTGTGTTCAACTCATGAACACAAAATGATTACTACCACATGATTACTTACAGGAAAGGGATCTGAAAGGTGAATGGGTATACGTGACATCCCGGGGCAGCAACATTGCTGTCTGAAAAACAAAAAGAAAGTGTAAAATATTACTGCAGGCTGTAACTCTTTGGATGTCCTACAGAAAGAAGGATTTTTTTAAAACTACATAAGACATAACCAAGATTCTGGAAAAAAATGTTTAATAATGTTATTCCCTTAATAATCCTATAAGACAATAATTAAAAATATTGTTGACCTGTGAGGTCAGTGTGTGTTTCAGTTTGGCCCCACAGAGTATTTGGTTTGTGTGAAGAATGTGTTTCATGTTTTGAGGCATTGTTGGGTATTGATAGCAGCGCCACCATGTGGGTAATACTGCGCGAGAAACACACATTAGGTCCAACTATTGCTCAGTTTCATGTCTCTACCTCATTCCAGCTCACGGGAATAGAAGCCATTGTGGCAGAAAAACCAACAAGTAATGGTAATAACTACAAACTAAGCTTAGAAACTGTAAAAGATAGATAAAAAATAGATAGATAAAGTAGTGTCTCCACAAATATTTACAAGTTGTCAATTTTGAACTAATCGACCATGACAGTAAAATACTTACATGTTTCTCCCTGGTTTGACAGCAGGGCTTGATTGTCATCTGTAAAGTAAAAAAATAAGAATAAAATAAGAATAAGAAGAAGAAGAAGAAGAAGAAGCAATAAAAAACTTGAGCTATGAAATATTTGTTCAAAAGGAAAATATCAAGAAATACCATCCCAATTTCTTGGGATGTGCAGGAAAAGAATATCTTTTGTGCAGACAATTTAATTTACACAAACACAAATACACAAATATTGACTATTTGTAGAATGTATTTTTACTATAATAAACCTTTCTTTTTCCTTTTCCCGTGGCTCATGGTGGGGGGGCACGCCCCGGACCAGCCGTCAAATCCTCACAACATACATGACTGCTCATTACTTGCACGTCTGCGGGACGGATTGACATGACAATACAAACCATAATATAGACGCATTTTAAACAATGCTCATATCGGAATCGACACTTGTCTTCTCACGCAATCGGAAACAAGTGAGTGGAAACTCTCGGTGAATTGATCCGTTACTCTGCACAAACATAAACATCACGTGTGTGCGTGCTCCTCAGCTCACATGTGCACCACACTGCAAACTGCATATCAAAGTCATATTTTGTTTTTCCGCTGTAAGTTCAACGAGCCTCGAGAAGCTGCCCGGTGTTGAATCATTAAACGTCTTAACGAATCCGCCCACTCACCTCTGAGATCTTTGCCTCCAAAGAAGTAATGCTTGATGCTGAAGTACTTGTCCTTGGAGTGGTACACGTGGGTGGTCTGTCCGTACCTCTCCGTCCACAGGACCTCCGCTTTCCCCTTGAATTTAATCATCAAAGACTCCATCTCGCACTCTTTGGCCAGCTCCAGCGTCACCGCGCCCGACACGCAGTCGCCATTGGTGAAGGTATTCTTCTCGTTGACGGGCTGGTAGGAGACTTTGAGGCTCTTGATGGTGGTCAACATGTCGCGTGTCCTGAAAACAACCCCCCCCCCCCCCGAGGTATGAAATGAAGCCGAGCGCACAGACAGACGCAGATAAAGAGCAGCTTTAACTTCCGCGGTTCCGCGGTGGGAGTGTCGTCGTCCAGAGGACGTGAAGTATCTCGCGTTACACCACGAGCGCTTTTCCGTTCGCAATGACAAAGACGTCTAAGAGACTCCTGCGGGTCACGCTGACGTTCAACATTGGTTTAAAAAAAGGGGGGATTGTTAGACGTAATGGAATGACGTCGATGTTCTTACCGAACTTCAACGTGCTTTTGAATACGGGAATGTGTGCTATATTATTATTATTTTTTCAGAGCTTTCCAAAGAAACATATTTTTAACGGATAAGTGCTCGCTGGGAACTTTACAGGTTAACTTTACGTTGCATTAGTCAAAGTAGTCGCGTCACCAGATCCTCAACAAGGACATATAAAAACATTAGTTAATTAATTTGTATCAATTATTAATAAACAATATAAATATAATAATATATACACTCTGTGTACCTGAAATCATACTTATAGACCTAGACAGTAAACTCTGATATATTATTGTCTTCTCACCCCCGTCGGTCGTTCCGCCCGCAACGACTACTAAAATGATTCAGACTACGGCATTTAGATGTTCAACAATAGGAAACATAGTCTTAGCTGTTTTAAAATTACACCAAGTTTATTTCGGATTATTCCAACGGAAGAATACAAGGCGCAGGGAACTTTGAGGTGCGTAAACGCCACTTAGAGGTGGGTAAACGCTATTCAGAGGTGCGTAAACGCTATTTCCAAAATTCCAGAGGTGCGTAAACTGCGTTTACGTGCGTTTACCCTCCACTACAGCCCTGGTTACCTGCGTTAACGCTGAATAGTTTACCAGAAAGAGCAGCCTAGAAATCACGTCTTGGCGTAGACTTCGCCAACCAGTTGATTAATTATTATGAAAATCTGAATGATAATATTGTCTCGCTTTCACCCTTATGTTACAACAGAACACATTTTCAACAAAGCGACGTTTTTTGGCACGTTGAAGTTTCAGCCACTTTTTAACCGGTGGAAAAGACGTTGAAAGGAGGTCTCAGACCTCATTCAAAGCCAAGATCTCAACCAGATTCCAACGTTGAATCTATGTCTAGAGCTCACTGGGAACCATCAAATGACATCGTAATAGTGCTAAAATTGGTACAAACAACTCCTTGGATGATTTTATTGTTTGGACATATTGAAACGATTTGGCTACTGGAGCCCGTCTTTGTTCTCAAACTCCTAAAAGGCACGTGACGTGACGTGACAGCGTATGTAAACAACACTGGGGAGTTTAAAACTAAATGCAAACTAAAAACTTGTCCTCTGTGTACACAAGGTTTCAAGCCCGAGGACCCGCAGTAAGGCACCGGCTTAAAATAGTGTTTTCATGTGTTAGAAGTCCTTTAGTATTTTATATGATAACGTGGTCCAATATTTTACTTTGTACCCTTTTGTTATCCTTTTTACTTGCTGCATGATTATTGAACTTTTTGAGTAGATTATAGCTTGAGTTTTTTATTTACTAAATTGTATTCATATCTATATTTATATATTCTATAAAATGAATGAATGAGTGAATTCCATATTTATGTATAAAAAGTATACACGTTTTATTTATAGTATGACATCATTGCCAACTTATTCGTTAGCCTGAATAAACACACATAGTAACATCCCTCTTGCCATTTGCCTCCACATCAGAGTTTAAGCAAAAGCAGAGGAGGTGTGTGGAGTCTGGGAAATGAAAAACACATTGTTAGTGTTATTTCTCGTCACCGCCACAGTGTTATTGTTTAACAGCCACCACAATAAACATGCAGTGTGCATGCTGTGAGACGGGTAACATCAACGATTGGACCACTGGTTAGGTTTTCTTTGCACACAAGAGCAAACTCCACCCTCAGCTTTGGTGTCATGTGCCGTGCTGTGATTTGCCTCCAGTGTGCAGTGGATCCTTCCCAATGAGCACAACACAATGTACAAGATAGACTTACAGAAGTATTAGATTTAGATTGAGAATTGTGCAGCTACTTCTGTCAAGTGGAAATTAAATATGGGTTATGTTCTAATACACGCTGGTTTCAAATAAAGTAAAAAGCCAAGACAATTGTTCATTTTTAAAATCATTGGTAAAAAAAACACATCTGTTGAAAAGACATGGGAGCCCAGGCCAAAAAAAATTACCTGATAAACCTGAAGCAATCAGCACGGTTAACCACTCTGAACGGTAAAACATGCATATGTATTCATTATATATGTACATTAGTGAAAAACTCACGTGATTTCATGAACCATGTTCTCATGTGTAAGTAACTGACATTTCTATAAGATGAAATGGGAGGATTTATTTAATAGTTTTCCTGGCTGTGTGTTTGGGAGGAACGTCCACCCTCGTTTCATCTTCATCATCCTGGTAAATCGCAGGATATCAAGAAAATCTTGGAAGAATTTTCCCTTCTTTAAATATATGATGGTTTGCACATCTGACCAAATTATATTCTCCCAGTATTTCACAGGCTTGTCTCAATGTTGTCCAGCAAACAAGTCTCATCGTGCTTTTTCTTCATGAATGGAGTCTTGAGGGGGGAGATTGGCAGTCAGGCCGGGGCTGTTGGCTGCTTTAGTTATTGTTTTCTTTCGTAACAAGTCCTTTTGAAGCTCTCCTTGTCTCTTGGACAAATCTTCTGATAATTCTGTTCTCTCTGTCAGAACTCTTGCAAAGAACACCTGCTCGTAAACAGCAAATGGTAAAAGTATGTTCTTCCCCGTATTATGTCCGCAACAGTGGTCACCGGGACATTTCGAAGTTTAGAAATACTTCCGTAACCAATCAGTACAACGTGTAGCAATAAGGTTGCACTGGTCTTGCGCCAGCGCTTTGCTTTCCCCCATTATGAGATGTTTGTTGTGTCACACCTCGGTGAGGAGACACCGTTTTGGGACCGAACCAGCTGGTATTAATTTGCACTGAGAAGTGATTGGATTGCTTTGTAATTACTGATAGATTTCAGCTGGCGTCCTGACTGTACAGGCCTCCACCTCGTGTCTTCCATTTTATTACACAAAACCTTAATTCTGAATTATTATCTTTTGGGATAACTTGGGTCGTTAAAGACATCTGGTGAAAATGTCATGTCAATAGAACCTTAAAAAAATAGATTTAGCGAGGAAAAATGGTGACGTTAAATACTTATCTGCCGTCTGTGAGGTATTTCTAAAAAGTGCCACGTTATTAAAATATACATTGAATGGAATAATCTGAAGTACGTCACAATTATCCTTACATACATTTCTGTGCGTTTGAGTTCAGCTTTTCCCTTCAGCTTTACACTGAGTGAATCTAATTAGCAGTGAACTGACAGCTGACTTTGGCAAATATCACTTTGGTTTATGCCATTATATCCCACTGAAAAGCTCTTAACATTTTGTACTTTTACATACTTTGTGATATCCAAGCAGAGCTGGAGACGGGCCGGGCGACACCGCGAAAGACACATTTTGTATGTCGTGATTTCAGTATGGATTCAACTACAATACTTGAATAAATGACTCCTCTGTGTGGCAACCACCCGGGTGGAAATAATGAGTATGGAATCCAGGCAAAGAGCATCAGTACACATGGAGTGTTTTTAAGCGTGGGGGGGAACAGGTTTGAAAACAGCTTGATGTTAAAATCAATATCTATGGAAATGAACCCAAATGAGTGTTATTCTTGTGAGACAGTTTTATTTGCATAGTACTTTTCAAAACAATGGTTATATTATACAAATAAGACAATAAAAGCTTTGAAGGTGTAGAAATATCTCTAATGGTTTTGCGATGTTGTGTCAGGGCCCCGCTCACTGTTTGCATGACCTATCGTATTACAACAAACAATATAAGGTGAACGCCTACACGGCCAGGTGATATTCGGCCGTCCTGAAAGCAGAAGCGGGTTGTTGTTGAGTCACCTTGGACAACTGTCCACAATGATTTAATGACTACATTTCACCACCTTTGACAGTTGTTTCTTTACATCCTGCCATTTGCTGTGGTTGGAGTCATCGTGGGAACAGCTGTTTGAAAGAGGTGTTTTGTACAGGAACAAGTGGAAGAAATACAAAAATCCCCTCGTCAGAACGGTGAAACCTGTCTTGCAGGAAGACGCTGAGTCTCTGTGCGTTATCGTATGAGACACGCAAGATCTGATGGATCACTTGGGGAGGAAATCACTTTCGACAATGTTCTCATTATCATACACGGCTGTCAAGCTGTCCACTCATTTGGAATCTGAGCTTACTTCCAGCTAAATATTAGTTTTGATAAATAAAACAATAAAATCATAAAATGTTTAATTCTCACACACTGGCAATATTCAATCAGCCGCCTGAGATGATGTGAAGCCACGTTACCCTGCCATCTAAAGTTAGTGATTATTAACACACTGGCTGAGATGATCGTGTGTGCGACAATACAGATTTTGGCTAAAAAGAGACCATTTGTTCAGTTCAGGCGCTGCTTGCAGTGTTTTCTCTGCTGAAGGGAGCCGTTGAGATAAAAGAACAAAAACATTTCTAAACTTTTACTTATAGGGGACAATCCCTTGAAGATTTGGATTCAACTACCCACACATATTCTCCATTTAGAAAACAACAGTACAACAGTATTTGAATGATAACAGCAAACAAGATATAGTATTAAAATATTTGGGATGAAAAAAGAGGAAATAACACTGGAACCTTAACAAATTTGTAATACTTCTAACGTTTCACCGTAGTCAAAATGACTTCTCTCCCACCTATTTAATAAACATCCTGCTGTCATGATTTGGTGAACAGTGCATAACTGCATTCTGCACAGTAAATGAAGGCACTATGAGGCTGCACACTGTTTAACAGAATTGCTGGATGGCTAAATTGCATCAAAGTGAGCAATGTAGAAGAAGAAAGATCCGTTGAACGATAATGAAACATCTCTGCATGTATTGTTAGAAAACTCCCAAATAAAGAGGAGGTTGAGCGTTAACGAGGGTGTCACACACGATGATGGGAAACAGCACGGTGAGGTCGGGTGACGCTCTCACGCTGAGGCTCACCTACGGGAGGCACAAGAAAACAACATGAACAGACTAGTTGGAGTTCAAAAGTTGCAAATGGAAAACTCTCTGAACAACTGAAACAAGCTGAATGGGAAACAGTGAGATCCTTTTCTTTTTAACATCTTCCGGAGTCGGTCGCTGGCACCAACCTCAATGACGTAGTCCACGTCTATGATGCTGCAGTTGGAAATTGTGAGCGACGCCAACGTGGGAATAGGGAGCGCGAGCTCGGCGTGGACGTGCGAGGTGTGAGCACCGACGGGTCGGCCGCAGACGCGCGTCAAGTTTTTGACCACCGCTTTCTTGTTGAGCTTGTTGTTGTCGTAGCAAGTCTGTTTCTGCTGCAGCACCACCTTGGGAGTAGCAGTTCGAGATGAAGCGTTGCTAAAGTCGCAAATGACTTTCACGGCTTCACCTGGGGGGAGAAGGAACACGGTGTTCGGGATGGGTTTCCTTTCAGCAAACGTATTCAGGCTATCAGGTGGATTGATGGAACGGGTGGAAACAGTACCGGGGATGAAAGCTTTCTTCTCCACGCTGACTGTCATGGCGATGGGACCAGAGACACACCACAGGCAGCACAGAGTCATGCTGTTGGAGCCCGAAAGAGGAGCCTGCGGAGAAACCAGCCGGCAGATGAGGACCGTTGGAATGCTTCTGATTTTCCAATATTCTATTTTAGGTTTTATGAGGGTTTGATTTCCATTGTGGGACAATAGTGTCACACACTCCCCTCCATCTCAGAGGGAGGCTATGTACTTTTTACTCCACTTTATTGATCAGGCAACCTTAGTTACTCTACAGATTACAAACCTTTCTATCCAGCAGAACCACATATCTCCAAATTTGGTGACTTTTTAAATTGATAAACTAGGTATGTTATAATAAAATTATGTCTGCTATTTATTTAAGCCGATAATACCTACAGCCTGCATAATTTCCCTCAGGCATGGTTTTATTTATACAAAAAATCTGAATACTTCCTCATCTTTGTTTTATTTTAGTTGGATGCTGTTCCTGATTAATCGTGGTCAATTAAATTACTCTACTACAAACCTGGGAAAGAATAGTATTTCAATAAACGGCACAAAGATAGTGGGAACACCGTGGGGCTTAAGGCTCTGGGGTGGGGGTGACACGGTCATCAATTACTTACCTGCAACAGTGGCTGATTTGTATTTATGCGGTTGACAAAGTTCAACTCTGTCACAAAATCCTTGCTCATATGCCACGGTCTGTGGATGCTCACTGTCAAGGTGTACAGTATCTGTCCATTAACTCCATGGAAGGTGGAGGGGAAGTCTCTGCGTTGATTTGAAAACATGATCATTCAAAAAAATAGCAGAATGATAAACAGACATTTTTGCAGAAAAAAAGCTGTAGAAAAATCTCAGATATTACAGAGAACTATTTAAAGATATCAGCGACGACAGTGAACAACACGTGACAGGATCCATCGTTGGAGGTGCTCACACACGCACACGCGCGCGCGCGCGCACACACACACACACACACACACCCCAGTGGGAGCTGGCAGGTAAACTGATACACGTGCGTGCCCGACTGTAGTTTGGCCGCCCCTCCTGTGGCTGAAGGAACACACGGAGACACACACAGTGACTTTCCTGAACGATGACTGATTAAATCCCCACAGTCCCCGCGCGCTTACCGCTGTTTCGTTGCGCGATCACGCTTTTGAACTTAAAGAAGTCCAATTCCGCCGCGTAGTGTCTCCGATGTCTTCTTCGCCTTCTCCCCCCGCTTCCCCCCGTGGACCAGAGGACACTCGCCTTTCCTGCCATTGCCATCTCTATCAAAGTGATGTTCGTCTCCTTTGAGAGGTCGAAGGAGACGTGTCCCGTTACCAGGTCGCCGCTGGAGAAACTGCCCTTCTCATTTAACGCGTTGAAATTGATGTTTACGTTCTTTATGGATTGGAGGAACATTTTTAAGACGCGATATTTAAAAAAAAGTAGTCTGAAGATAAAAAACAGGCTATTATAAAATGGTCTCAATAGCTTCCATGTAGTAAAACATTACAGTTCCTTCATGGACGCAATCACGAATAACGTATTTAATGGTAAAAACCCTCGGAAAGTTTCCCAACAACAAAAACAATGCGTTACACTTTGCGCAGGCGCACAACACGCTGAAGGACCCGCCCTGATTGAGGGCGGAGCCAAGGCCTCACGCGCAGGATGAGCTGGAGAAGAGGCGAGAACCGGGAAAGGAAGCGGAAACGGGAACCGGGAAAGCTCATCAGATTCAGAAGCCATTTATTGCCACCTGTGGTTACACATACAGGAATTGTTCTTGGAGATTGGTGAGATATATGAATGAAATAAAATAAAGTAAAATAAGATGAAAAGTATACAATCATGATACCTGGGTTGCAATATATAATAAACGTATATTTATTTAATGAAGTGATGTTCCTTAGTACAATTCTGAGGTGGCTGTTTAGACTAACGATACAAAGAACATGCATATGTTAAATTAAAATGAGGGACTTCATCACAAGCCACCTAATCCGATTTCCTTAGATGTCCAGACATTTTTCATGTCTTTTGTGCTGGAGGACTTATTTTGAAGAAACTAATGAGCACTTCTCTTTTAAAGACAACATTTAGAATGGTGTTTATTCTTTGAGGATATTTAACAATTAAACCAATAGATTAGAGGCTAATCGATTGGATCTGTTTTGCTGTCTATTTATCCAATGACATGAAATACACTGATTTGATTCTTCCATCGTATATCAGTCTAGTTCCTCTTTGTCCTATTGTACACAGTTTCTGTTCCGATTTATGCAGGATATTTTTAAACAGGCTGACGTTCTGGCTGAGGGTGTGGTGTGTTTCTAAATTAGTGAATAAATCCAAATTAATATACTTTAATTTAGAACATCTTAAACACTTGAATGGAATCATATTAAAAGGTATCATCAAGATTACTGTGCAGCATTGGTTTAACAATTGAGTGTTAACTTTGTTCTCACGAGTCAAAAAAAACACTTCCCCTCTACACTTCTGGAGAAGTAGTTAGGGGTGTTTTTTTTTTTATTATCTCTTTCCAATAGAATATCACCTTTACTGTCGGTAATCTACATATTATATTAGAGGTCATTTAGCTGTTATTTAGCTTTATCCAAAGCGACTTATATTGCATCTTTAACCTATGGCTTTTTTATATTTATGCCCAGGTTAGGTGTCTTGCTCAGGGACACTTTGACTTGGGACAGGATGCAGCTGGGGCTCAAACCGCCAACCTTGCGGTTCCGGCACACCCTCTCCACTCCATGCGCCACTGTAGGTATATACCATCCTGTCATGAATTTTTATGACACCATTTATTTATAGAAACAAGTATGAAAAGAAAACTAAAGCTAAAAGCATTCCTTGGTGTCAGTATGATTTCTGTAACTTGGGTGATTTGACCCTGTAAGTGTTCAACCACTAGATGGCACTAAATACTTTATTCTGCACTTCAGGGCGTACAAAGACTGACAACTTAATTTGTCATTACAAACCCTCATGTCTTGTTTCATTGAGATAGGGATCCATTATCTTACAACAATGAGCTTCATAATGGCATTTTAAAAATGATGTTTTGTGTTGCTTAAATACCAAGTCCTTTAACAGCACATTGGTAGGTTCAACGTACACAATACATCCATAAAATGCTTATAAATACCTGTCAAAACAGTTCCTTCATACCAGCTCTATTTAAAAGGAGAATGGACCTGCCAGCAGTTTCCTCCAAAGTAGGAGATTGTCTTTGTGGCACACTGAGGCAAAATACTTGTCAGAGATTATGTTTGGACTTTTAGAGATGTATGGAAACTGTGCATTACTAGACTCACCGTTGGGCAGCGCTGCTCTGTGTGTTGAAACACACCGTACACGGGAAACCATCTTCATTCCACCCAACGTCCAGTACAAATTTGGAAAAACCTCCATCACTTGTTTTATGTTTCACTTTCAATCAGATGTGTTTACATGTGGAACTCTATCAAGTTGAATGTTTGAGAAGACAGTTTGTGACATTTAGATCAAAATCTTGATGTAGCTCTTCAACTGCATTTTGAAACAGAAACCACTCAAAAGCAGATGTCGCTTCAATCAACAAACTTTAATCATCATCATCTGGTATGCGTTGACTGTCCATTAGCTATACACAAAGACTCGAGTCTTATACTAGAATTGAGGCCTATAAACAGTGGAAAGTCTGTCTTGTAACGTTGATAAATGGAGACCCAGAGCGTTCACATCTGTATTTCACTGATGTTGTAGAGGATTACATGTGACACTTGTGGAAAGTCTATTTCATTATTATAATGTACCATAACAGTTTATATCATGTCTATTAATTTAAAGATCCCAGAGAAAGGAACAAAAAACATTTGACAAATTGAAATGAAACACTAAGGGGTAATACTTGTAATAATATAATAATAATACTTTAACAACCATCCAATGTCAAACTGCTTATCCTGCACACAGGGTCGCGGGGGGCTGGAGTCCATCCCAGCCAGCTTAAGGCGATAGACAGGGTTCATCCTGGATTGGTCGCCAGCCAATCGCAGGGCTACACAGAGACACACAACCATTCACACTCACATTCACACATCTACGGGCAATTTGAAGTCCCCAATTAACCTGATCCCCAGAGCATGTCTTTGGACTGTGGGAGGGAGCCGGAGAACCCGGAGAGAACCCACGCAGACACGGGGAGAACACAAATCTTGTCAAAATCTGTGACAACGTCAGCTCCTGAGAGATATCGTGTGGGTATACCAGCGTTTTGTGAAAGGTTGGTTGAGGTAAATGCGGAAACCTGATTCGGATAGGTGTTTGCCTCATTCTGCTTTAAGTGAGAGAGCCTGAGCAACATAATCTGTTGATGGGGATCTACGTGTTGGACATTAATGTGTGTGTGTGCCACTCAAACACATGACCATTTGTACCTGGCTTTGGCTTCTGCCTTCTCTGATAAGGGCACCTTTCAGGTTTAGTGGAGCTCACGGGAACTTTACTTTGCCTGCCAACTCAGTAAACCGACCTTTCACAGTACAATGACTGCAGGACACACACACACACACACACACACACTATCTCTTTATCTACATATTGCATCTCTTTGTTAATTGGATCATCCTGCTGTCAGCGGTTGGTACTTTGACCAGTCGTGTCTAGTTCTGGTGGAGTTGCATCCAGATGACAACTTCTCTAATTAACATCTGATTTGTTTCTTCTTAATATTTGTGTATATATAAAAGGAAAATATTTCCTCTTATTATGTGATTGTCTTTGGCAGCCCTCATCAGCATCCATATCGAGGCAGCTGGTGTGTGCAACATGTAACGAACAATTCTTTGTACACGCTCAAACAGAGTATTTTCTCAGAATTAAACACTCTTCAATGTTTGGATAACAATTCATATTTTCACCGTGTCACCAAATTATAACTTCATTGTTTGTTGAACAGGAGTTGACATTTCAGCTTATCAGCTCTGAATTCAAAGTGAAGTAAAAGAACACAGAGGATAAGCCGCGTTATTGATCTGTAGTTTCTACACATCCCCTCTCTCTCTTCTGGTTAATCTACAGGGTCAGCTCTTATGACATTGAGGAGCTACTCTGGCACTGCACACTGCCACAATTTGCAATTCAGATGGAGGGAAAGGAGAAGGGGAAGAGGAGGCGTATTGGGGGAACAAGTGGGGAAACTGAATGAGAAGGGAGATGGAGGAGGAACAGCAAGGCAGAAAAAAAGTGACAGGGAAAAATACGGTAAACAGAGGCAACGAGAGAATACGTGCACTGCTATTATCGAACAAAAAATAAATAGCTGCTCATAAGAAAGATTTAGAGGACGGGACATTGGAATGTATTGTGCGAATGGATTCGCACTCTATTGAAACCAAAAAACGGGAGGTGATGTACGCTAGGCAAACGGTTCGAAGATGTAAAATTATTACGCATTATACAATCTTGCCAAAAACCAAATTAAACTCAACGAGCTGTCTGCCAAAATAGCAACGGCTAAATGAAGCGGGAGCAATAGAAGCCCAAAGAGCAATGGCTGAGGAGCTAGAATACAAACCAACGGCAGTATGAAACAAGCATTAGGAGGTCCTTCAGCATGCAACATAGCTTCCTATCCAAAATACAACTGTGGCAGAATGCAAGATAAGGACAGACACAGAGGTGCACTATCTCGCAAATGCAGACACGCACACCCATCGCATGGCCAGAATAAAGCTTTCAACGAGGAACATGCTAAGAGCAAAGGGTAAACTATTTCCGATTTATGCTGTTGTTACTAAAAGAATTCCTGCGGCCGAACAGGAAGCCAGAGAGGGAACCGTTGGCTGTGCTAATCTTGTGCAGATCCTCTGATAGCTTTCTTCTTCACCAACAATGCCAGTCTTGACTGAGGGGGCTCTGACGAAAGAACCGACAACCTGGCAGAGCCAAGATCTTTGTCACCCTCTGGCTGATGAACACTCATGTTCATCTTATACCATCAAAATAATCACATCCTCCTTTCTTCTTCTGCCCTTTTCACATATATGTAAGACCGTTGTCTTTCCAATGCATATGTTTGCTCTGCAGAATGTGATAAGAGCTTGGATTGTCATCTTTTTGCATATTATTCTGTGTGTATGTGTGCAAGAACGAGCCTCTGTCTGAGTCCGAGACTGTATGCTAATTCAATTAACAGCCTGTTCATGCAATAACTGAGAGTAAAACAATAGGAGAGGACCTGTTTGGGGTTTTCCTGAAAGTTTACCACATGATGAAGTCACAGGGAAACAATCCTTTTTCAAAAGAGCAGCACAGTTCGCTCCCCCCGCGGTCAGACTTTAAAAGCTAATACTGCCACCATGATGTCATTACCACAGGGCCAACGCTACAGCTAATGAGTCAGTAACAGCACGGAGCCTTTTAATGCAGTCTACAAATCAACCTGTCCATCAGTCTGTCTCTCTCCCTGTGGTTGACACACAAACACTGAGGCGTCGCGCGAAATGTACCCGCCAACCCACATGACACATTCATGTCTAAGTTCATGTCTGGAGTAGTGCTCCATCTCACAGTATAACAGTTGCCGTAGTAAGACAAAAGGGGTGCTTTGTTCCGTTGTCAGGCTAAATCCTCCCTCAGCAATTACCGTTCACCTTCCAAAGACCTCGGCAAGGAACAGAGCAACACTCTCTCTTATAAAGGCAGCCAGTGGAGCATGAAGACACAGGCACTCTAAAGGAAAAGCAAGATTTTCAGCCAGCTATACTGTAAGCTTTGTACAGAATGTTGGTAGCTGGTATTTATCTCCATATACACGTAGAGTGTATGTCTATCCCCTTCAGCCTCCTATATACGCACTATACGTATGTGCGTACGAGGCTGCAGGGGAAAATCATATATTGTGTGTAGGTATTTCGGCCATAAGGAAAGATATTGGCCAAAAGTCCACCTCAAGGTGACAATAATCTTAATGAATCCAGTGCCACCGTGAGGAAGAGTCTGAATACGGTTCATTAACAGGAACTGCAAATATCTGTATCTGTATGTCATGTCAATCCAGATCATAGATCATCATCCGATCATGTTTATGGAGAAACTGGAGGGTTTTCCAGGTTCTCAATGTGGACATTTCCCTACACATTAAGAAATGTAAATCCAAAAACCTTGCTCGGCTAATCTCAAACCCGTCACAGGCAGAATTAAAGAGTTGTCTGTCAAAGCTGGGTCAAATGTTCGCCCCGAGCTGTTTCAAAACAATTCTTCCAGCCTGACAGAGATCCTTGCAATCAAATCCAGTTAATCTCCTCTCTGAACGCCACTCTGTGACTCAGGGAGGAAAGAGACCCCTTGAACAACTGTACTCCCGAGTCTCACTCAACTCAACTCTCATTTCCTGTTTAAGGGGAATGCAGCTTGATCGCATTATGAGGCACTGAAACACCATAAAAGCCCGGTTGTAATGAAACATGTAGACGCCTTTTTTTCCCCAGGAAACTTCCTCTGATGTATATTTTGTCCACATGTTTGGGGCCCTTTTCATGTCCTGTCTCTCACCTAACAGCCGCTGCTCCTGCAGTTGTTTACATCGGGGGCCAACGGGAGGCTTCCAGACGCAAAGGATCTGACAGTCTACCGGTGGAAGAGGGTAGTTAATATTGCTACCCAACCTGTGTCCTGACCTTGTTGCAGGACCATCCATCATCTAGGCTTAGAGAAGGGGTAGGGTTGAGAGGTATACCCAGATAGAGGACAATTTAACCCGAGTTAAAGCCTCTTCGGGCCGAGCCACTAAAGCTTCTGACATTCCTGAGTGAGAATGAGTGCATGATAAGGCACAACACTGCTTCTTTTGTTAGGCTATCATAAAATCACATTGATGTAAGAAAGTCCTCTATTGGGGGGGGGGGGGGTGCTATTTTTTTCACGCTAGTTACGTTATGTTGTTTTGTTATTATTTTGACACAAACAACCCTTTTTTCTAACTTTAACCAAAGCTTTGTTTTAATCCCTCGACCCAACCAATTGTTTCAGATTGCCCACTTTGTGGCATTATGTGTTTCTCCAGGCGTGAGTTCAGAGTTCGGAGACATAAGTCCTGGCGAAGCATTGCTGGTAGGTCTAGCGGAGGGACGTACAGTAAATTGTGACACACATTTGCGAAATTAAAAATACAGTCAGTTTTTATTAAACGTCTCAGACACAGCGTCACATAGTCAGCAAAAGTGTATCTGTCCAAGAAGATTCATGCAATCAAAGCTATAAATTATATTATCAGTTTAATAGCAACGCCCCTATCTTTAGAATGCAAATATTTGTGACCCAAGGTTAGTGAGTTAATCCTAACACGATGTACAGAGACAACATTTTGCATATAAAAGTAAATAATTATATAAACGACAAAATTCAGGCACTATGTACATTTTGCTGAAGCTGGCTTTACTGCTGCAAGTGCATATTTTCTTACTTAATTTTCTTTATCCATAGAAAAAATTATTAGACACACACACATTAGGAGACTCATTTTTTCACCTGAATAATACCGAATGTACTGTCGTTTTTTTCCCTTTTGCATGGTGCACCCTGACAACAAAAGATATTTCATTCAGCCCCATATGAACACACACACACACCCACACACAGACACACAGGCACTCACAAACATTACCAATCCCCACTCTCCCATTTCGTTTTTTTGGTTTCAGTCATCTGCAGCCTTATTACCCAGTGTCCTCTGCAACAGCCCAACCGGCGCCCGGCTGCTGGAGTGTTCTGTTAGTCACATCAGTACCCAGCGCACGTTCAGCCCAGCTCAGATCATCAGGAATTTTACCGATGGAAAACCTGCCCAGAATTTAGAAAAAGGCTGTGCATACATCTATTTGTGATGGAGTCTCTTCTGCTTTTATTCTTTGCTTCGTCCTAGGATGAAATGCTGTTTTCTCTCCCCACCATAGGTAACCATGGAAATGATGTATACAATACATGGGAAAAGTCCGATCAGGGTGGTTTGTTTTTTCTGTCCCTTTCAATTATTATGACAAATTGTAACTACTTGGTGGTGATTACAACCGCTAAGGGTCTTTTTCGGGTTTATATTTGGATCTGTATCATAACCGTTAACATCGTATCTTGTTTTACTCTTAATGGAATCACTGCCTGTAACTGTGTCATCAACATAAAGTGATCTCATCTGTATGATTTCTGAACATCTGTTGAGTGCCAGAGGCCATTTAGTAATAAACCATTTAACAGCTGCCTAATTGCTGTAGGAATCAGCATCAGTCTGTAAAATAATCTTAACCAATAAAGAGTATGCTCTTCTCCCTTATAGAGAGGTCTAATCTATTGTGACTGTTAGTATAGACCAGTTTTAATATGGAAGAAGTAATTGAGCCACATGCGCCAATTTTTACATATTTTTACTGGATGCCAAAAATGTCTGTCCCTTCCTACTTTGAACTCTTAACACTATTATAGACATTGGTACTGTGTCAGTATTTGTGTCATTGTTGTGTCGTGTGTTGCTTGTCGGAAACATAAGCGGGACAAATCTCTAATAAATATCTTCTTGAAGTTGACACAATAAGGTTGGTGGATTCCCTGTAAAAAACCAACAGGTTATTTTGCAAACAAGCATTCATCTTTGTTCATTGGGGAGGAGGAGAAGGCACGGCCGGGTTCCCACTTTCAGAACTGCTTGTACATGTGTACATGTCTGTTAAAGAAGCAAAACATACATTGCTACCAGACATGCTCATTAGGAGGTTTCATCTCTTGCTTTCTTGTTGCATCAGCAAACATTTTTTTTTCTTTAAATGCCAAATTTATTCCGCAGCCTAATCTGGATGATGTTGGGGCTGCAGTATTTCCATGTTTATTCTCGTTAGATAAACTATATAACCAGTTTGTAGGTTGTGTCTTGTTTACACTGCTGATCCAACGAGGTCCAGAGGTAAATAGTTGTGTAGACCGGAAGCACTGCTGGAGTTCAGGAAAGCAATTTCCCAGTTTCGTAGCCAGTCGGTGGGATCTTTAACTGTTTCCACCATTTACAAACCCCTAGTTGGGACGCCCTCTTCATTAACAGATGTTTTTGCAAATTGTTGTTTGGAGCAAATAGTTTCAGGACGCCCCTGGATCAACGGAGACTGCTTCCAAAGAATGTATTTTCCCCAAATACGTATGTTTTAGTTGTACATGTTGTTGCTTCGTGTACACATTTGTCAATGCAGCCCGTACCAAGTATTGCTCAAGCACGTGATCTGGAGCCGGGCGGCGTCTTCATGCTTGTCATCGTGTGTAACTTTGTTCACTGTAGAGAGCCGTGGTTGAACAGTGATACGTCCTTAGTCTACACAATAGCAATTACTCATCTGAAAACATAAAACACAGTGTGACAAGGTGTGCTATTGTTCTCGCTAAACTATTTACTGAGCCACAAGCTTTTGTTAACTTTACCGCCAATTAATCTGAAGAACCTCTTTTGTGTGAGAGCTTAATCGTTTGCTAATTAGCGTCCTTGCTAACAGACACTCTCGGTGGAAATATACGATTACATAGCCCATCGACAGGCTCAGTAAACACCGGCTGTTTGCCAAACTGCCAAAGCAGTCGTTGTAAAACTGGAGAGGGGGCAAATCAATCATGTGTGTGTGTGTCTGTGTGTGTGTGTGTGTGTGTGTGTGCGCAGCTTACTGGATGTAAGTCTTCCAATATTTGTTTGCGAGTGAGTGAGTGACAGGAGAAACAGCAAAAGTGAGACACATGCAAGAAATACAAATGTGATTGTTTGGTGCATTTTCCCGCCAGAGCGAATCCAGTGGACACGTTGGTTGATTTGTAAGTGAACATGAGTCTGTGGTGTGGATAGCCGGGGACAGGTGACCTCACACAGATGGCTTGTGTGCTGCAAATACTGCAAGTAGTGAGCGGACAGAGAGAGAAAACAAGGAGGAGCAGAAAGAGTGATGTTATCTGACGGATGCAGGCATGACGTGGTCATTACCAGTATTGGAAGGTAACCAAGTAATTCCCACAACTTTTACATTTTAGTATATTTGCTGTAGTTAACAATCCCATAGTACTTCTAAACCATTTCATATGATAATCATTTTTACTTTTTTTACTACTAAACTGAGTGAACAAAGAGCTTCTTACTTACAGTAGCTGTTCCACTTGGTCCTGCAGTCTGCGTCGTTCCATGAAAGGCTCGTGAGATCTGAAGAATACGACGATTAACAGAAACACAGCGTACAAAGTGTTGTACTCACAGGAGTTTGGAGCACAGTGTTTGTTCAAATGAGTCTTTTGTCTCATCCTCACTTCTGCGTCTCTCTCTGTCTGTGGATCAGATCCTTTGCTCTCCTGACTGAAGTTGTGCTTTTCAGTGATGTGAGTGTAACACGCTGCGCCTCGGTTTTGATTGTCACCGCAGGCCGACGGATCACACGGGGCCACAGTCCATTGGAAAAGAGCCGAGTCCCGTGTGAGGGAGAACCTCAGCAGCTCTCAGCCAACCTGCCCTCCGGGCTTCCAGCCAGTTAACGGACGTGCGTTTCAGTCAGTCAGCCAGTAAGTAGTCAGCCAAAATGCTGCCAAGTTTATCAGTCAGTAAGACTCAGGCCGGTTTCTGGGGGAACTAATGTGATCTTTTGTGATCCACTTTAGTTAAATGGAACAACTTGTTCAGTGACTGAATCTTGTTAAATTGTCATTTAATATTGACTGTTTTGATTAGTGAAAAAACAAACCATCACAATTTTCAAAATAGTTGCTGATAGATTTTCTGTCAAGTAAGCTAT